TAAATATATTAATATATTTACATGTATAAATTACGTAAATTAATGTATAATTAATTTGGACTTTATATTAATAAAAAAAATATTAAAGCAAAATATGTAAATAAAGTTTTTTTGGGTAAATATTTAAGTATAAAAACTATTAAACAGAGTAAAAACTTATTTATTATAATTATTAAAATTTATTTTTACTATTTTTTTTTTTTTTTTTAAAATTTTACCATTTTAATAAATAATAATAATAATAATAATTTTATAAAATTTATACCAATAAAATAAATATATAAATATATATTTATATATATATTTTTATTTTTATTTAATTATTAAATAAAAAAAATAAAATTATTATTTAAATTAAATAAATATTTTATAAAGTAATTTATTTAAATTAAATAAATTATATATATTTTAAATTAAATTAAATTATTAATTAATTTATTTAATTTATTATTATTTTATAATTTTTAAATATAAAATTTATTTATTACCTTCTTTTTATTTTAATTATTTAAAAGATTTAAAATTTTTAAAAAAAATATTTAAAATAAAAAAAAAAAGTAAAGAAAGAATGTTAATATATTATTGTAGTTTCGGTTGTAATTTCCTTTCTTTTCTTTTTTTTTTTTTATTTTAATTATAAACGGTATATATATTTATTATTTTAATAAAATAACTAATATTTATTTTTTTTTAAAAATATATAGTATTTCTTATATTAATATATTATAAGCTAGCGTAAAATTTTATTAATTTTACGGTATTAATTTTTTTCGTACAAAATATTCTTAAGTTTTACCTATAGATTAAACTATTATTATTATTAATGATAATAATGATATTATTACCATTTCTTTAAAAAAGCTGATTAGAAAAATTCCTAATTTTAAATTGTACAAAAATTCCGATAATTTTATTCTAGTTAATTAAAATACTTTTATTTACTAATGCCTTATTTTTTATTTTTTTATATTAAAAAGTAAATATATTCTTATTTTTATAATATAAATATTTATTTTATTTAAAATAATTAAATAGTTAATTATTAATTTCTTTTTAAAAATAATAAAATATTTTAATATTATATAAAATAAATTAATAAAAAAAAATCTTTTTGCAATTTATATATAATATTATTTTAATATTAATATATATTTTATTAAATAAATTTTAAATAAAAATAATAACTTTTTTTTACCTTTTTTTATTTTTAATTTTTTAAAAATATTTTATAATTATAATATTATTATATAATTAAAATAAATTATTAATATTAATAATTAATAAAAAAGATTTATTAATTAAAACTTTAAATATAAAAAAAATTTAAATAAAAAATATCTTTTTATTTTTTATAAAATTTTTATTAATAAAAATTTTATTAATTTAAATATTAAAATATAAAAAGTAAATAATATTTATATAATATAAAACAATTTTTTTTTAATTAAATTATAAAATAATAAAAAATATTGGAAAATTTTTATTATATATTAAAATATTTAAATAATTTTTAAAATTATTAAAAATAAATAACTTTCTTTTAATATTAAAATGGAAAAACTTTTTCCTTTTATTAAGCTTAAATTATAAAATAAAGATAAAAATAATATATAAATTAAAATAAAAAGATTTTTTCTTTTTATTAAACTTAAGCCTTAAAATAAAGACTATTTTATATAAATTTAAAATAATAAAAAAAAGCATAAAATATTTATTTTTATATTAATTGGCTTTAATTATTACCTTAAATTTCTTTAGCCTTCTTAGTTAATATATAAAAATAAAAAGTTATTTACTTTTATTAAAACAATTTTAAGTTTATTACTTCATATAATACCTCCGCCATAACTATTAACCCTAAAACGTATTAAATTTTTACATTATTACTTATTTTTATTACTTTTTAAACTATTAAAATTATTTATTCCCTAATTAATTTATTATATAAATTTTATAATTAAAAATATTAAAAAAAACCTAATAACATTATTAACTTTTAAACCTACCAATATTATTAATATTCTCGATAGTAATTTTAATAATTTTAGAAATATTTTTAAGAAAATAATTTTTATTTAAATCTTTTCTTGTATAAATAAAGTTATACCTTATCTTCGGCTTAAAAAATAATAATTTAAAATAATTATAATAACATACACTATTTTAATAAAATAAATTAATAATTTACATAAATAATTTAAATTAATAAGTAATTTATATAAAAAATAAATAGTAATTTTTATAAAGTAATATTACTTACAAATTACTTTACCAGGCTTTTTATATAAATTACTTTATAAAACAAATATATATACCTAATTATTAAAATTATTAATAAAATAATATAATTACTTTTTGTCTTATTAATTTTACAAAAGGTCTAAATTTATTAATAATATTAATAAATATAATAATATATTTTTATATATTTAAAATTTTATGATTAAAATAAATTAATTAATATAAATTTTATTAAAATATAACTATATATAATTAAATTATTATAAAAATAATTTATAAATAAAAAAATATAATTTGTAAATAATGGTATATAATCTATAAATAAAACTAATTAATTTATAAATAATAATATTTATTTTATATTTTTTAGTTATAATAATATATTTAATAATAATTACTTATATAAATTAAATTAGTTTAAAAAGGCTAATTTAATAATACCATAATTATATAATAATATCGTATTTTTATTAAAATATTAAAAAGTAATAAAAAATAAATAAATAAGTAAAATAATTAACTAAGCCTAACGGATTTGGTTAAATAATCTAAAAAATATTCCTGCAATTTTTATATATTAATTAAATTAATTAAATTAATAATTATAATTAGGTTTTATTATAACTTTTGCCATACCATTTATATCATATTTCATTATTATCTTTATTATTATTTTTATTATTATTTTCTGCATTATTTTTTATATTATTTTCGTTATCCAATTTTTTTTAAAAACGCTGTCAATTTTTAAAATCTAAATAATTTTTATTATTTTTATTAACTTTATATATATTTATATTTGGTATAGTTTTTAAAAAGTTTATTTTTTTATAAATTTATTCTTTACGCTAATTTATTTTTTATATAGTTTAATTAAGTTTATTTTTGGTTAAAAAATTTTAGATTTTTTTTAATTTTTTTTTTAATTTAGTTAAACTATTTTGTAGAAAAAGTAATGTTAAATTTAAGCCGCAAAGATTTTTATTATTAAATTTTATTTGGATTATTATTTAAAATTTATTATAAATTTTAATAAATAGTCAAATATAATTATTTTTTTTTATACAATTTAAACCAATTTTTACAAGATAATTTTTATATTATTTAAAAATATTTTTAAAAAAATATTAATCAATATTATCATTTTTGATAATAATTTTAATTTTGGTTAAAAATTTTACATTAACATTAAATCCCTATTGCAAAATAAAATTAAAATTAAAAAAAAAAAAATTTTTTTAAAACTAACTTTATACAACATTTTTACAATTTTATTACAAACAAATCTTATATTAATTTTACCTAATAACAAAAATATCAATTTTATTTTTTATAACTAACATATATATAATTAAAAAAACAATTTAAAAAATAAAATTATTAAAAATTTAAAATCTTTAATATTTTAATTATTTAAATAAACCTTATAACATTATTAATATTTATATTTTAATTTTTAAATATAAACTTATTTTTTAACATATTAAACAAAACATTTTAAACTATAACCATTAAAATTTTATACAAATATTATCTATACTTTAATTATAATAAAAATAATTATTAAATATTATTACAATTTTATTTTTATTTAAATATTTTTTTTATAAAAAGATTTAATAAATATTTAATAATAAAGATAATTCTTTACCCCTATTTATATAAATTATATAAAATATATATTTTAACCTTTATATAATACGTAAATATTATTTTAAAATATTAATAACAATATTTTTAAATTAAAAGATTTAATATTAAATAATAAATCTTAAATAACTATTAATTATATTATATATATAAAATCCTTAACGTTTAAATTTATCATAACTATTAATATTTTAAACCTAATTAAATTTATATATAATAAACTTTCCTTTTTACCTTCAAATATACCACATATAACAATAAACTACAATAGAAAAAAAATTTTTTATAAATTTTATACAATATATTCTTATATAATATTAAAATAAAATAAAAATAATAATAATATTTATACAAACCAAAAAAAATAATTTTTATTTTTATCCTTTACACTATTATATATATATTATTATTTTAATTTACCTAACCAACCAAATTTAAAAAATTTTTTTTTTAAAATAACTTTTATAACATTTATTTTTTTTTATTTTTTAACTACTATTTTTAAACAACGTTTTAAACCAAAATCTCATCAAATCCGTTAAAACTATTATTAAATAATATTATACCTTTTATTATTTAATTAATTACATATATTTTAATTAAACAAATTAAATTAATAAAATAATAAAAAAATATTTTTTTTTAAGTTTTTTAATATAAATCCATTTTTTCGTATACAATATTACTTTTATAATTTTTAATTTTTTATTATATAATTTAACATTTTACATAATAATTTCCATTAATATTTTTATTTAAATTTATTTAAAATTTATTTAATAATAAAGTTTTTATAAAACCAAACAATAATTTAACATTTATACAATTTAAAATCAATAAATTTCTTTTCCATTTTAATAAAAATATTATATAAAATAAAAGGAAAAAATATAAATAAAAATAATTAATATATATAATATAGCCTAATATTTCAAATATACCCCTTAATTATATTTATTCGTAATTAACTAAATATTCATATAATACATAAATATTAATGTATAATTTATAAAATATATAATTAATGCGTGGCTATGTTATTATTACCTTTTTTGGAAGGCCCCGACCAACTTTTTTAATTTTGGCACAATTGCACTAATGATCCACCATAGCAGAAGCTCCTCATCTAACTTTAATTCTGAGCTGCTAAGCCGTTGTTAGGTAATCAGTGCTTCAAGCTTTAGTGGGTACTTAAATGTATTACATAATTAGAAGGCTTCACCTATCGGCATTCAGCTTGATAGCTTCAATATGATAGCGTTGATAAGTCGAGCTCGTCCCGCAGAACTTTATTTTCACAAATCCAAAAGACGACGTCATTCGGCAAATACGACTGGCTAATCCGTGTTAACAAACCTCTTAACCCCAAATCAAACCCTCTATTGCTCGGCATTGAATACCTACCTATCTACTACCATGGGCGTCTTCGGTTTCTTCAATTCCGCTGACGAGAAGCGCAAAGAGGAAGTACGCACTGGTGCGCGTGCGCCAGATAGAACGGAGCGGCAGCTATGCTGGGATGCGCGCGACACATTCTACAAATGTCTAGACAAGCACGATGTTATCGACTCGCTAAACGGCGACGGCAAGAAAATTGCTGAGAAGCAATGTGCGCAGGAGAATAAGGGTTTCGAACAGAACTGCGCCAGCGCCTGGGTGTGTTCCTATACCTCTTCTACTATAATTACCTCTTAATAGGGCATTGAAAGATATAGTTAGGTCATAGCTAACCTATACCTTCGCTACATATTTGTAGGTAACTTACTTCAAGCGATATCGAGTTGCTGAGCACCAAAAGAAGAAGACACTGGAGAAGTTACAACGAGAGGGTGCGAATAAGATGGCAGTCGAAGGATCTACGAGGACATAAGGCGATTGTCCTTGTCTGATAGATATAACTTGTATTACCTATCTTGTACATAATCCAGAAGCATTAAAAGAGGAGTTATGGCTTGGGAAAAGGATACACATTGATATGCTCCCTTCTGCTGGATTTCTATTCATATATAATAGTCGAGGGCTAGGTTTGCGGCAGCTAACTCGCTCTTTGCCGGTATGTGAGGCCGCCGATGACTTTGTAAGATTTAGCAATCTCTACAAACATTAGCTTTCGTCTTAAATTTACGTCGTCTCGGCTATGGCAAACGCTTAAGCCAATCGTGGGGTTATGCATGTGTTAATTTCTCTAGAATGTGATGATCTAAGCTATGACATACATACACTGTTGAGACGTGTATCAACCAAAGGATTTTAGATTTAGACGCCTTTCTAGGAACATTATTCGCTGTGGGCTGCTGGTTCGGAGCTTTGGTCAGCCTTTTGCTTGTGACATTGGGCTCCCTAATTGCGGGCTACATTGAGAGGAGGCATCTAGCATTACCCGATATGAGGTTCGGGGCAATGACAACGGAGTCTTCATACCGTAATACCTTTTTCTATGCATAACCGGCATGATCTACAAGATAAATATATAACACTAGCGACACTTTTTCGATAGGTCGGCTCCATGATAAGATGGAGTGGAGTTTTGCCGTTCAAACCGAAAAAAGGCTTTTATTCTTATTTTTATAAGTCTCGGCAGCACAGACGGCGGCATTAATCTTAGTATCGTTGCGCGGAGATGGCTTATACGTATAGATATACTGTCGTGCAAATGTTATGAATTACCTCCCAAAAACCAGAAGCATATTCATGTCTTGAATACGGCCGATACCTAAGTTTCAGTATATTCGTCAGCTTTAATATTCTCTTTGAAAATACAGCATGTCACAAGTTGAAGATCGTTGGAGAAGTTGGTGACTTGTCTCGGAGAGTCGGCAAAGAGATTGACGAGAAGCAGGGAACCCGAGGGTGCCGGGTTACACCTGGTCGAGCTGAATATTTGATTAAAATTCTTAGAAATCGTGGCTGGAGCTGCATTAAGCTGATTGTCCCAATCTTCCTACTGTGTACACAGGGTCCAAGTCGGAAGGTCGGCAAGCTAAAGCCTTGGTATTTTCGATTTTTGAGATTGCATGAAAACGGAGATTGGAACCCCAAGAACTGACGCTGAGACGTGAAACCAATACAATAGATGTTCGCTGGCTCATATGGATAGATAGAAAAATTAGATTAGAGGAAGAGGAAATCATAGAAATGGGCGTCAGTTCCGTTGAATATGACATAATGCCGTAAACCGAAATGGATAAGAATCTCTGTGATTATCGAATCGTCGCGTCCGTCTATCCTCCTTTTTGGCTCAAGGTCCACTAGCCCAGTTATGCGGGACAGCTATGGATCCCAATTACTGCATATCCACATCGCGTCTTCCATCCGGGCTTATTTTTTCTTCTCTCTCTGCAAGACACGTCTGCATGCTTAATGCAATAAGACAGAAAGAGCGCAGCATTTCTGTGGGATACTTGCGAATACCTGAGTGAGCTAACCCCATCAGGAATGATTTGGAAGTGAATGATATAAAATACATGTAGCTTGCATACAAACACTTATACTTCGTAGTATATGTAAATATTACCTGACAGGTCGAATCGCATTGATATTAGGAAACTGACTTATCTATTGTAATAAAGGTTCCAGTTCTATAGTGTAGCATAGATGCTACGTACGTATTTGGGTACCGTATTCCAACGACTTATGTAGGTATATTTATAATCGACGCTAGGCCTTGTTAGGGTATCAATATTCTCCCATTGACTTATGCGAGACAGGTCGTGGCTGAGTCGATGCAATTAAGGACGTACCCACTCGCAGTTATCCACGTTAATCTAGCCAATTATAGGGTCGCATGGTGCCCAACCTCTGTACCTACTAACTTATGTATCCACCCACTCAGCTGCCAACTTTGTTGGTTTACACGACAACACAATCTTGCACTCGCATCTTCAATCCACCCCCTATCCTCAGGTGTCACCAATACCAATACCAATACCAATTATAGCGACGACGACATCAAACCAGAGGAAACCCGCCAAATAATATCCGTTTTGATTTTTCCTTATATCGTCCTCCGCATATCCCTCGCCCGACCAGCATAACCATCGTCTTAAGACATCAGGTCGTGGGTGAGGGTTTCAGGTGCATTCGTTCGGAATCCCACTCGAACGACGCCCAATTTGCGGATGCGAAATATGCCTACGTTCGTAAACGACGAAAACTCGCCCATTTATTATCAAAACTCTGGCGTCGTCCATCTCAGAAACAATCACGAACCCGATTTCCACAAGCTGACTGATCCTAAGGAAGCCTTTCTTCTAAGACCGTTGTCTACGGCAATTGACACGAATGAGAGCTTCGACGACAATTCATCTTCACATTCGTCACACAGCTCTGGCCCGCAGGTACGAATGAATGCGGATGGGCTACCCCCTTCCAGCATGACACCTCTGCCCAATGGCAGGTCAGGTAGAGACATGAACGGTGTGGCTTCGGCTGGCCAAGACTCCAAGTATTATTCAAACATGAAAGGACCTTTGTCTGGAAGGAGCTCGTCGGAGCGCCAACCTACTACTAATGGCATGTCGCCGGCCTCTGAGAGCCAGCGTAAAAATATATCCGAATCTCAAATAAAGCGGTCTTCGGTGGATTCTCGTACTTCACAATATCCCATCGAACTACCGCGGAGGTCGTCAAATAACGGTGATTTTCAAAGCACAGACAGTGCCTACAGCAACAATATTGGTTCTACACCACCAGAGAATTCGGCTTCGAGTTATTTGCTACCTAATCCTTCATCTTCTAATCTTGATCAAGCTCAACGCACTTCTCCGTCGCCTCAGAGATTTTCTTCCCCTCCGCATTATCCGCCGACCGGTGCCTCTGCATCGACTTCGGCACTGCAACCACCTGCGACTGGTCTAAAACATCGACACACGTTGGAGGTGCCTAGGGCTCAACCAAGCCGAGGTTCGAGGGATAGTAACGATACGGCATCTGCTACTGGCAGATTCTCTCCTACTGCGGCCGGGTCATCGCAGCGTCGAGGGTCTCTTAACTTGGGAAGACGGAATACACGTTCCCTACACTCCGATGTGCCTCGTGACGAAGTACTACCAGATGACGACGCGTTGAGGTGGGCTGAAGCATACCGACAGAAACGGGCAAAGAAAAAGAAGCAAGAAGAAGATGATGACAGAGTTCTGGTTGGAACTAAGGTCGACGAGAACCACGCAAATTGGACAACAGCATACAATATGTTAACTGGTATTCGAGTGTCTGTCTCGCGTACGAACGCCAAACTCGACCGTCCCCTGACCGATGCCGACTTTGAAACTAAGCAGAAATCGACGTTCGACATGTATGTCTCCGCCAGAGTTAAGCTTGTGTTCCATATACTAACTAGAGTAGTGCGGGTAATGAGTTGGTTCCCTCGGCAAAATACGACTTTAAGTTTAAGGATTATGCGCCCTGGGTTTTCCGACATCTTCGCGCGCTCTTTAGGTTGGATCCCGCCGATTACCTGATGTCGCTTACAGGCAAATATATATTATCCGAGCTCGGTTCTCCGGGAAAGAGTGGTAGTTTCTTTTACTTCTCAAGAGATTACAAGTATATCATCAAAACCATCCACCACGGAGAGCATAAATTTCTACGGAAGGTCTTGAAAGATTACTATCAGCATGTTACAGAGAACCCGAACACCCTCTTATCTCAGTTCTATGGCCTGCACCGCGTCAAAATGCCATATGGGAAAAAGATTCACTTTGTTGTCATGAACAATCTCTTCCCTCCTCACCGCGATATCCACACCACGTTTGACCTCAAGGGTTCGACTGTAGGACGAGACTATCGAGAGGAAGATCTCGAGAAAAACCCACGCGCCACATTGAAAGACCTCAACTGGCTTCGACGGAAACGGCACCTCGAGCTAGGAATACAGAAGAAGCAGCTGTTCTTGCAGCAGTTGGAGCGTGACGTTCGGCTCCTGCAAAAGCTGAAGATAATGGATTACTCGCTTTTGATAGGCATCCACGACTTGCGAAAGGGAAATGAGGAAAACCTTAGAGACAAGACTCTACAGGTATTTAACCCTGGGGGGGATAGCCCTTCGGAAGAAGGGTTCGATCCTAGCTCTGTCCTCATGAGAACGCCGTCGAAGCTGGAAAATGCACGTAAAGCGAGGGAGTTACGGCAAATGATTAAAGCCGAGCGGCCTGTACCCGTAGGCCAAACCAGCAGTAGAATGCCGGACGAGCTAGCTGAGGGGCATACTCGAGGTGGAATGTTCTACAGTGATGATGGTGGTTTACGGGCAACACACGAAGACAACACTGCAGGTGAAGAAGTTTACTACCTTGGAGTCATCGACTGCTTGACCCATGTGAGTTGCAATCCCATCCACATTTATTAGCGCGCTCTTGTATTTACAACTAACCTTTCGACAGTACGGAGTTATCAAGAAAATAGAGCACTTTTGGAAAGGCCTATCCAGTGATCGTACCCAAATCTCTGCCCTCCCACCCGAGGAGTATGGCGAGCGGTTCATCAAGTTTATGTCTGGTATCACAATGTCTCCAGAAGAGGCCGCGAGGGATGCGCACGATCGCGAAGCCGCTGCAGCAAGCGCTGCAGCTGAAATGGAGCGCACCAAACAAGAAGCTTTACAGGTACCTGGATCCAGTAGCGCGCCGCCTGCACCGTCGTATTTACCACCCGCACCGCCAGGTATGAGAAGCCCGAACTCGCCCGAGCCAAATCCTACCATAGAAGAGGCCATGAAAAAGGCTACAAAGAATGAGAAGGATCTTGCTAAAGAGGAGCAAGTCCCGGAACGTAAGATTACAACCGCTATATCACCAGGAGCGAGATCCAACTCGCATGCTGTTCTACCCGTTGTTGAGGAGACGGCGGAAGCGGGCTCAGTTGGGGAGCGAAGTCGGGGCGATAGCGCTAGTGAATCCCGACCCTACACGCCATCGATAACGGAGAGGCAGGATGGATTTACTACTTTGGGTCCTCATGGTATTGGAGGTAGGGGCCCACCAACACCGCCGAAGACTAGTTACTTGGAGCCTAATCCCGGATACGAGGAAGAACGAAAGAGGGGCGGCATAAGTGGTGGATTCAGGTTTCTAAGGAGCAAGATCAGTCGCGAAAGCCTTGGAAAAGCCTTACCACCAGTCCCCAGGTAAGAGCCTGCGATGTCGAGGAATATTGGGGGTGTTGGCGTTTTGGTGTTAGGCGCCAAAGGATTACTAACTACATTTACTGGAAACATGAATATCGAAGACCAGAAGCAAGTAATATTGGGAGGATGAGGAAACCTAATGAGAAATCCAACTTTGGGTCGATATCGAAGATGAGGGCCCGAAGCAGAAGAGGAATGTGAACGAGCCGAGCAACCATCATCAGCCTTGTTGAAGTGATGGTCTATAGACGAAGAAACCGGAGCCGGTCTTTTCATGCTATTATCACTGTTTCAGAAGAAGAAAGGAGCGTCAACCGATTATTAGCCTTTCTACATTTGGCAGACTGCTTTTTTGAGCACGGGAGAGCGTTCCTTCCCCCCTATTCCCTTTGTTTGCTGCTGAGCATATCATTGTGTTTGTACAGAAAGACATGATACCACCATTGCATAAACTGCATGAATCTGACGAGCCTGCTGTTTCAATTCGCCTATTACTTATTTTTTGTCTTCAGGTGTTTTTTCCCCCACGTGTTGGGATTCAATATGTATAATACCATAGACCTCGACGGCTCTGACGCGTTCGTCCGCCGTCGGTGGATGCTTAGTATTTCTTTAGAAGGTTTATAGAAATGAAAGGGAGTTGCTCCATCCGTTAGCGGTTGCGATCTGTTTATTGTAATTTAAGTTTTGCTTTTTAAGTGGCAGATGTGATATCCTCATGTATGTTATTTGTCTCCTTTTCTTTCCCTTGATATCGTTAAGGGTGCGAGTAGGAAGTGAGAGCATAACTCTATTAAAGCAAGAAGACTCAGACCTATCTAATACTAGGCCATTGCTGAATTCGGTCCCTCTACAATAGATATTCTAGTTGTCCAGAGCCCTTATAATCCCGTTACCTTGATTCCACTATCACATCCACTCGCTCACACGCCAGACTTAATTATCTCAGCCGCCATCTCCGCGACCCCGTAAACCGTAGCCTGTGGATTTGTCCGCGGAGTGGTCGGTACGACGCTAGCGTCGCAGACCCTCAGGTTTCGACAACCGTAAAGACGCAGTTGGGGGTCGACCACGCCGCCCATGTTCCGGGGCATCATGGAACAGGTGCCTGTGAAGTGCAGCACGCCTACAGCCGTCTCGCGCGCGTATCTTCTGGCGTTCTCTGGGTTCGCGAAACTTCTTTAATCAATGAACTTGAAATAGCAATTCCTCTCGACATATTTATCTAGGTAAATATCGTAGTAGTCGAATCCGCAACTGAAAATAGCACTCTGTTTTCCCGATCGAGAAAATTTCCCTCGTCCTCGCCTATCTTTTCAGCCACGTTTTTTACTACGAAAGATTTTCAGAAATGCATCCCATGATTCCTTGTTCTCCCAGGTCACATTACCGTCAATGCGTCGAACGGGATATCCGCTAATTTCCCCAGGTGCATGATAGTAGGAGGCAACTCTTCGTTTGGAGTCGTCATTCTTTCGGGCGCGGTTGTTGAATCAGTAGGTAGACCCATGCCCGGCTTTTGTTTTTGTGTTCCGAGAAACGTAGTAACGTGTGTGTTAAAAAGGCATCGTTGATCCAAAGAGCGATTTTACGAGAGGGAGGTGGACAGTGTCGTAATAAGTGCGGAATTGGGACGAGGAGATATCCCCTTTACGCTGGATGAGTGCAACTACGGTATAAGTCATGCTTACTCCGTCTCAACTGATACGGTACTAGGTTGCATAAATATTCTATATTTTTGTAGACCAAGTTTCAGCATTCACGGAGGAGCGCTCATCCCTCACCTTTTATAATTATGAGAGTTTGGTATTCTGTGTCACTTACGTTATGACACGGTAACGTACACTGTAGAACAATACTTTGATACGGCGTGGCGTTGGGCTTCTATGTAGATCTCCGGAGTTGAAATGACGCGGGACTACTACTGCCAATGGCTAGAATTGGACGAGAATGAGAGGGGGGTAAAGGTTGTAAACCTTGAATCTGCCAGCCAAGAAGAACGGATAACGGCTCGAATAGTTCGAATAGCGTACTACCTAAGAAATGTCATCGAGATCGGTCTCTGCCCTCCTTCTAAATACCTTGGTATTCACGACTACGGCAGGGAGCATACACGCCACAACACCTCCGGGCTGTCGATCAATCCCGAGAGACCCCCCCTGGCCAACACCAGAGCAGTGGGACCTCCTGAATCAAATGGTAGGCGAAAATCTCATTGCTTTTGTCCTATACCTGATATAGGTGTCGGTTCAAGTTATCAAGACGTGGCGCGCGTAACCTGATCGGTGATAACCGATTTGTTTTTGATGCCACCAGGGGCTGGCAGCGAACAAGATGTAGGCCACGGCTATAATGCTAAGTAATAATCTGAAAAGATATTCTCATCTATTAGCTCTCGGACATTTGTCAATGCCGTATAAGGGTTTGGTAAGAGATATGTTTGCTGTGAAGAGCATCTTTGGATGAGCACGGTGAAATCACGAGATGTAGAGGAGAAGAAGTGGCGTTGTGGTGAAAATAAGGAAATGATGGTTGATGTAGAGCCGCTACCTTACCTGCAAGACCGAAACTAGATATATATGGAAGGCACATTAGGTACCATATATTGATGCTGCTGTGCGAATATAGGATGGATTTGACATAAAGTTGTAAAGGTGTAAGTCGATCAGGGGCGCCGAAGGGTATCACGTGACCTAACAACCCCTGTATCCCCCTTTTATATATTTACCTTAGGTTCATTCTCCTCGTAATATTATTAGTTAAAGGAGGTTTCGATAGAATTATAAATTAAGTTTTTCACTTAAGGAATTCCTTATGGGGCCTGAAACATTTATGAGCATGCGAAGCTTTTCTTTTGTTGATCATATGTTGTAAGGAAAGTCTCGACTCAATGGGAGTCTTGTCGTCCGTTCTACTTCTCTCCCCGGTCTTCTGGAGCTACTATCTATTCTACAAGACTCTCAAACCCTACCCCAATGCTTAAGCGACTATCATTAAGCTAAACGATTATCATTTGCTGAGGTCGAGTAAAACCTGCAGCGTAGTCTTAGTCCGTGGCGATGTGCGAGTCTATCAGTAGAACCATGTACGTTCTGGAAAACTCGACATCAACGTAAATCGGCGTATTATCTCGTTAAGCGGAACCATATCTAGATCGATGATATATTTTTTAGGACTGTAGTTCGGAGACGCATGGATGAAGAACTCCACAAGGTTGGCTATGCGTCGGGGACCGTCTTCCTCTAAGTGGTCGTGGGCGAGACAGTGGTCACTTAGATGGGCATAGACAAGGGAGAAGAAGTCTCGCACTTCACTCTTCTTGAGTGGGCCATCTTTGAACTTGGGATATAAGAGCTCACACGTGGCGAAGATGCGGTATAAATTAGTCGCTATGGTAAGCCTCGGAGTCGTCTGCCAGGTTCCTTCAGAGAGAAGCACTATAAAGATAGGTGTCAGAGTAAGACTCTTAGACCAGGCTACCTAAACAACCAACACACAACCAGCAAACAACCATGGCAAGTAGTACATACAGGCGTTGAAAGCAACCAAGTCACAATGATCCAAGGGCCATACGCTGCCAAAGTCCATCGTAGGAAACCAGGTATATGCTTCCTCATTTGTTCTAGGTTGAGATTCGTCAGAGAGCGAATGGATGAAATAGGTGGCAGGCATTTCGTAATTAGAATCCATTTTGATCCGTTGTTGCCTTGCTGAGAAGCTAGAGTTATTATTGAAGAGGTCCTGGAAGTTATTGATAATATGAGAACTCAGAAAACGTCCGCATTCGCGACTCAGTTAGGTGTAAGAGCAACTTAATTAAGGGGATAATAGAGAGTATTAATATTCCTTTAAAGTATGGAAAGTGGTTTGTACTCAGTAGAGGCTGAGTTGGCAATGAAGAGGGCGTAAAGAAACAGGGCTGTGTTATGTTGGTCCTAGGACAACAACATTCATTAGGGATGTACATTGTAGTGCGGGACGGGATTTTGATATCACCCGAATGTGCACAAATGAATGCATTTAGGAAGAAAGTAAGAATGATTGTTTTTATGTAGGTACATATTTATTATTAGCACATTACTACTACATAACTGCGGCAACCAAGTTGGTACTTATTGTACATTCTTGCACATTCACATCTTATCCTTGGTAGCCTTCCAAATTATCCAGCTTCTCCATACTGGCTCAAATATCGTTACACAAACCATCCTGGTATATTATTATCCACGTGCTAAGTGTAATATCTACCTAGAATGGATCATAATTGCACTATTTTGATTAAAAAATATTGTACAAAACTTGAAGATCAGATAGCACTGTTAGAACCTCTGTATGATACCCCTAGGTTGAAAAGAGCCATTTTCCACTTCATATTCTAGAGTTAGTGTGTGATATATGTCCTCTGATAGATAGGGCGAGACCTCTTCGAATAAATGTATTAAAACTACCCAAAAGTTTAACGTAACCCCTTACTGGCTCGAGGAGGGCTAGCGTTCTGTATGCCTTAGGTAGGTACCTAGGTAGTAAGGCTTTTGATATGAACAAAGGTAGATTTCTCCTGTACCGTTATTAGTAGAAATGGAGAAGGCTATGCTTCTCCTATTATACTTGCTGTCTCTCGAAAAGATACTTGTGGCATCTTTCGAGAGGACAGACGACCCGTCGTAACATTTCTCGTCTCAAATCTTCGGGCGGGATAATACGGCACCCATAAAGACACCATTTAACTGCCTCATTAAAATCAGACCCTGCCTCGTCTTTCACCTTATTGCTCCATTGCCGGGCAGCAGCAGCATCAAATGCATACTTTTGCATTTCAGTGAGTCCATGAAGTCCATACGCCTGACGAAATTTCTGTTCTTCAAGAAGTTGACCAAAGCATAGCTCTAAGAGGACTATGCCCAGAAGCTCCAAAGACCGGTATGCCTTTTCAACTCTCTCATTACCAGTTATGGCCAGCGAAGATTTTTGTTGGGGTTCCTTACCCTTAGCCGGAGCGGAGGCTATGAGTTCGCGTTCCAGACAAGGTTGATCTAGGAAGCCCACACCGGAGTTCTCATCGGCGATGAAAACGATATCTGTTTTTTCCAGGACTCTGGAAGCCATGGCGTCTCATGTAACTGGACAAAAGAAGATGCTAAGATAAGCGAAAGAACGTATCGTTGCCGCCGGCTGGGCGTTGGTACCGCCCCCCTACGGAGGATCTCGTCTATGGTCATACTTTTGAGTTTCTCTCTTTGACGTTGTGATTCCTTATATACGTAGTACGCGCCGTTTTGACTAGCAAGATATCCATAACACTCGCCGTTCTCGTGCTTGAGCGAAGTACAGATACAGGAGATCAGCTTGGTACGGCTAAACTTGGCTATTCTAACAATTGTAATTTGTGACATACAGAATGCCGTGGCTTTGTCCATTTGTAAGACATCTTTCGATAATGTGAATCAGAAACAGTGCGGTTGAATTCGGTAGTCGGAGCGTCGAACCTCGGAGTTGAATTGGCACCGTGACCCGCAACTTGGGGTTAAGTATATCCGGGGACGTGGGGTACGGTGGGGGAGATAATCGGCCCCTGCCCTGTAGGTGCTCCCCTGTGGGGTTATCTTAGACAGGGTGGTCGTGCCGAAGTTGGCCCATAGGTAGGTACATGTACCTAGGTAAACTTGGAAGTTGCATGCTTAAGTCTGAAGCTTCAACGTCACGATCAGAAGCTGCGTCTACCGGGAAAGGCAGGAATATTAGTAACCCGGTAATCGACAGAAAAGGCCATCCGGGTCCTCCGAGCTTCCGACTGCGGCAATAGCCGTAAATCTCGGGAGACACAAGGCCCAAATCGACGCTTTTCACTTACTTACTCTTACTAACACCACTTTCCCCCCTGTCTAGTGAGACTAACATATGCATTACGCTGAGTATGAAAACGGAAAAAGTATACCCGCCGCCTTCAACCTAAGTGGCTTAGGTTTTATCATATCTGGGTATGAATGATATTATGACATCATCTAACATTTCTGACGGCCTTGACTTTTGTATGCCGTGTCCACTTGTATCCACCTATACCCACCTTGTTCCTACCAGACATATTCTTATTCAAGAATTATAAGAGACTAGATAACCTTGGTAGTGTTTCTACTTCTCCTCTAACTTCATCCCATTATTTAGAGCTTCTCGGCCTCTTGTCCTAATACACATTAAACATCTAACACACTACACCGTAAACATGCCTCAGCCAATCCCCAAGTCGGACAGCTTAATCGACCTCTTCAGCCTCAAGGGCAAGGTCATCGTTATTACCGGTGCTTCTGGCCCTCGAGGAATGGGCATCGAGGCCGCTCGTGGCTGCGCTGAGATGGGCGCTGACCTTGCTATCACATACTCCTCGCGCAAGGAGGGAGCCGAGAAGAACGCGGATGAGTTAACGAAGACCTATGGCGTCAAAGTCAAGGCTTACAAGTGCGACATAGCTGAATTCGCCAACTGCGAGCAGCTCGTCCGTGACGTCGTGAAGGACTTCGGCCATATCGACGGCTTTATCGCTAATGCTGGTGCTACTGCTGATGGCGGCGTCATTGATGCCTCGAGAGAGGATTGGGACAAGGTCATTCAGGTCGACCTGAACGGCACAGCATATTGCGCTAAGGCCGTCGGTCCTCACTTCAAGAAGCAGGGCCACGGCTCCTTCATCATCACCGCCTCCATGTCCGGCCACATCGCCAACTACCCTCAGGAGCAGACCTCCTACAACGTTGCCAAGGCCGGCTGCATCCACATGGCCCGCTCTCTGGCTAACGAATGGCGCGACTTCGCTCGGGTCAACTCCATATCGCCCGGGTACATCGATACCGGCCTGTCGGACTTCATCGAGAAGAAGACGCAGGAGTTGTGGTACTCTATGGTTCCCATGGGCCGTCCTGGGCTGGCGAAGGAGTTGAAGGCGGCCTATGTGTACTTGATTAGCGACGCTAGCACGTACACGACCGGCGCTGATATTGTTATTGATGGTGGATATACTTGCCGATAAATGTAAGAGAGTGTCAAATTTCTACATAGATTGATACCGCGAGCATAGACGTGGCGTCCGGAGTCGATCAATCACATTATTTATTACCTTTTATAGAAATAACAGGTAATAATTCCGTGAAGCTTTATATGGCCTTCGGAATATTTTCTCTGTTGTTTCACGTGGTGTATACCTAGATACAGGTGAAGGACGTCACAGGTATTAAAAGTAAAACATCAATAAACGTCGGTTCCAATGCAATTACCGGTAGAAACGTCCACTTTATGGTATGTTACATTAAAGGTAAGAGAGCGTAGCTCGTTTCTAATTAGTGAAAGAGGTCCAAGGAAAAGCATGGAAAATTTATACTTTTGAGATGCAATAGTTAGGTAGCCCTAAGAACCGCCACTGGTGGGTTGGGACCGGTTAGGCTGGTGCTGCTAAGATTCTAGATGAGGCCGATGAGGCACCTAGGACAAAGGATATGTACTTTCAGGAGGTGGTAGCCTCAGGTTTCCGTCATTTAGGTTTGGAATTTCCCGCCGAACAACTTCGTTTGTTCCATACCTCCTAGATCCACTTCGTGATAAATCTTCGTCTTTGAGCGTCTATGATTTTCTTTCCTATAACTTCCCTTTCTAAACCTCGGTAGTTAGAAATCTCGATCGTATTGTATCTTCAATCTTAGTATGAACCATATTCTAGATAGCCTCTTCTTGTCGGGATACAGGGGTTAGTGATAGTTAGATGACGTAGTATGAGTTTACACTACCCACCGGCTAGCTACAGGATAGGAATATATATAGGGCACTGAAATTCCCTCTGATTTATATAGAAGCTGGCGTTAAAATATATTTCAATTAGTATATTACATGCTTGGGCTATATACCAGCTACGTATCTGTCGCTCTGTGGGTAATATAACATACCAAGGGTGATATCTGACACTTCTCTTCAAGAAAGCAGCAGGGTATCGATTAATACACTAATTTCATCAAAGCAAAATGATGAACTTGGATGGCATATACCACTGCAGCCTCCAGAATAACGCAATTGAGGTGAAATTTGTACCTCACGCCGATAGTCCGTTCCATCCCCAATGCCTTCGCATCACGTTCCATCGGACCATTCGCGTCCCCGACAATCGTAAGACAGTCAAACTACCACCCGATCTAGGCACTTTCCCTCTATTTGGAATCCGTGATTATGCCCATAAGCTTCCCCCAAATATGGTAGCTAAGGGCGGCTTGTTCCTGTCTATGTACCAGAAAGAAGCTATGTGGATTGATTTCAAAGCGGATTGGCCTTTCATGATAAAAATCTACGCTGGTGGCGTCAATGTCGTCTCCGGCGAACATGCCGCAGAGGATAGTGGGACCAAAGATCGCCGTCGACGGGCACTCTGGGGCACGATTCAAGACTATGTTGTGGCCCCTAAACAGCTTTGGCTCGACGGTATTGCCACGTCTCCCGGTGTTGTAAGACAGTTTGTCGCCATGCCAATGGGACAAGGCTACAGTGTCGAGGCACAGCTTACTGGGGAAGATACCATCGGCGGCCTACAATTTGAGATCACGCCATCGGCTCCCAGAAACGTCATAAAGCTATTCGTTCAGATACTCCATGGCAGATCGTTTCCGATCATGTGTTCGCCCCCATATACGATCAGTGCTATTAAGAATTCGATATACAATATAGAGGGAACCCCGCCTGACGACCAATATATTATTTTTGGTGGAACAACGCGTGATGACCGTACGTCAACTCGTTACTACCTATCTAAGGGTTCGTGCTAACATCTATATAGACGAAACACTTGTTGGGTGCGGTATTCAACCGGTAAGTAATACCTTTATACATCTTTAGTAGTAAGACCTACGGCATGAATGCGATTCAAGGCACGCAAGTTTGAATGCATTTAACTCTAGTTTTAGAATTCCGTGGTTTATATGACGCCAAATGTCCGTGGCGGCGGTCCAAACCCTCATGCCACGCCTATGCGTTTTCTTTCTAAGCGTTTTCGCTCTATGGCCATCGCGGCTGGAGGTAAAATTGTTCAGGGCATTGAAAAGGACGACCAAGACAATTGTTGCTGGGTCGAGCACATGACGATGACGATCCCGGTGCAGATACTTAACAGCGCCGGCTTCCGATCTGTCATGGGGAGAGACCCGCCGCCCTCTCCCGTTAGCGCAGAGACTTATGCTGCCGAGGGGCTTCCGTTTTTCGACCTGCCCGAGGAGCCCAGTACTATTGCCGGGAACTTCGACGCGGTCAAAAGCGTCAATGAAATGGACCAATCACACGGCATCGCTACAACTAGCGACGCATCGATAAACCCATGCCTCATCAGCCTCAACAAGCGTGGGAGGCAGATCACGGTCCCGAACCGTCATATTCTTCAAGTACGTGACCCGAACGCCTTGTTGGATCCGGCGGGTCCGCTTCGTCCTTTTCGTACTGTCGCCGAGCTGGAATATGAACGATATGAAGGGATTCCCTTGTCGGACTTGCTCCCGTAATATATGTCACGGTAGTAACCAGCTGAGCGTCTATATAAGCGATCTACTCAAGCTCGTTACACTCGCTCGTTTTACTCCTTTTAATACAACCTACTATATTCCAACTAGATCTAGGCACCACATAACTAAGCACACTAAATACGTGATAATATACAAGCTTCGTATTGTCTAGTAGCGGTGATATTATTGCTAGTACGGATTACAAGGGCCAAAATCCATTGTGCTACCTCGGCGCCAGCCCTATGGAAGGCTTACGGATTTAGCATCCATTTAAATTAGTTACACGGCGTTATCGCCGAGAATATCGGTGATTGGGATACCCCTGATAGAATCGATGTCACACCCCCTTGCCCCCCATCTTAACATTGGAGAAAGCTTGTCTTCCTACGTAAGTTTCTCAAGGGACTTGAATACATAGTTTAGGTAGATTCCGCAGTCCATAACTCATACTTGGGGGGTTAACTTTCGTCATCGTGATGATCAGCTTAGCCAAGAAATGATATCTGATTTACATGCTCTAGTTTTAGTTTCGGTGAAAGATATTGAGCTTTACATTGTAGTACCTAAGTTACTTGGACCCCTTTCGTAGAAGTACAACCCCCACTCCTGACGTTTATCTTATCTGACCCCGGCTTCAGCCCTTGTCTTCAGGTCGTCTTGGCGGAGATGTAGGTTGCTTTTGCGAGGGCCTAAAAATCCTATCGGCTCTTCCCGCTGGTCCGGGCCACCACCACTTGTGTCATAATCCAGATAGAAGGCTCCGTTTACCGTCAATTGGTTGAATCCCGTGTCAATCGACGGTTATGGTTTGCGGGTGGTCTAATGGGAACCCTGGCTTCACGTGAGAGCTGGCCCTTTGATGGAACCTCATTTCCAACATTGCCTTGCACCTGGTTCTCTTACACCATGTGCAGTTCGCCTGCTTACCTGCTTAATAATTTTAATAATTTCGGGTCGTAAGTTATCAGCAGGCTGGGGTTTGGGATGCAGCTCAGCTTGCTGGGGAGTATGCAAAGTGATAGGCCCGAATCAAGGGTTAAGAGTAACATTTTCTTTTAATTCCAGATAGTTATATACATACCTGGGTATGCATTCTATATTATTTCCTTTCTTGTTACTCTACTCTACCACACGTTATGGATACGATACCTTCATAGCTTTTTTAGCAGTGTGGACTCGCCGTCAAATACTTGAGAGTAGCATGAGATAACGAGGAGATAGATAGCTTATCTCTAGCTCGGGCACGGTGGATAAGACAAGACTGACATAAAACAAGACTAATTCCTAGTCCGCAAGAGGCGATTCCGGTGGAGCTCAACGGGTTTTTTGGTCTTAAACATATCGCTACAGTCTGATCCGATATACCTCCCTCGAGACTCAATCAATTCATCCGGCTTTTTTCTGGACCGGGCCGGCTAGATATTGTTACTTCGGCCTTGAGTCTACGGCCCTACCGAAACCGCCATTTCTTATTGCTCGATTGCAAACGACACTCCGAATATGTCCGACTCAAATATTAAGGCGCAGGACGGCGTGGCCGAGACCGCGACGGATCCGACGTTCGTTGTAGATGAGAAGAAGCTCTTGCGCAAGCTTGATTTACACATTATACCTCTTGTTATGCTACTTTGTGAGTGATATAATGCCTTTATTGAACCTTCCATCCTTGGGACTGTTTGGGTTATTGTTATTCGCTATTATGAAATTTGTAGCAACTAATGTCAAATTGTACAGATACTTTTAGTTTCTTGGACCGGTATATACCCCGCCAATCATCCATCTAGTAGGTAGGAATTGGTTTCTAACTGGCTCTAGTGTAAACATTGGTAATGCGCGTCTTTACAGTATGGAGACAGATCTTGGGCTGGTAGGGAATCAGTTCCAAGTAGCTGTCTCTATCTTCTTCGTCACGTGTTAGTCACCCTTCTTTAAAGTGAAAGTTACAATATCTTGAGATATAGAGGGCTTTGAGTCCGTTCAGCTCTAACTTTTCGAGGCGCGTAGACCTATTCTTTGAAGTACCTTCAAATTTGGTGCTGAAACCCTTGACGCCTTCTCGATATATCGCCTTCATCGCTTTCGGCTGGGGAATTATTGCGACGTGTACGGGGTTTGTTCACAGTTATGGTGCACTCATTGCCGTGCGTGTGATTCTTGGTGTTGTCGAGGCTGGGCTCTTCCCGGGGCTAAACGTCTATCTGACGTTCTTCTACACGAAGCAAGAGCTTGCTCTTCGTGTTGGTTACCTATTCGTTAGCGCCGCTATTGCAGGTGCTTTGGGCGGATTGCTAGCTTATGGCATTGGCCAGATGGATGGAATTTCTGGATATAAGGGGTGGCGATGGATCTTTATCATCGAGGGTCTCCCGAGTATCGTCCTAGGCGTCGTTGCCTTCTTTTTCCTCCCCAACGATATCGACCATGCCTACTTCTTGACCCCCGAGGAGAAGAAACTAGCGAACGAGCGACACTTTCGCCACTATGGGTTCACCGAGAGCGCGCAAAAGTTTAGCAAAAAAGATATGTTGGCTGCATTTAAGGATTGGAAGGTTTGGATGTTCTGTTTGGCCCAGTTCGGCGTAGACACGTTGCTATACGGTAAGCTTTGTGGTCTTAAAACTTATAACATCTATAAGAGTAACACTCACATCTTTAATTTAGGCTATTCTACGTTCTTACCAACGATTATCCGCGGTTTGGGACAGTGGTCGGCTGCGGAGATCCAGTTGCTCACTATCCCGTGTTATTTCGTTGGTGCTGTGACTTACATGGGAATCGCATTTTTGTCGGATCGAATGCAGATGCGCGGCCTCTTCACTGTGGCTTTTGGTGCTGTTAGCGTGGTTGGATATGGCGTTCTGCTCTCGAACTCATCAGCGGGAGTACACTACTTTGGGTATGACTGGTTATCAAGTCGGCTTAGAGATATAACTAACAATCTCCAAGTTGCTTCCTAGTCGCCACTGGGCTTTATGTTACTGTTGGTTTACCACTGGCTTGGGTTAGTGCTCAGTGTCGATTCGGATTATATTTCGGATTGCTAACAACTTGAATCTAGCTACCAAGCAATACGCCGCGATATGGCAAGCGCACGACAGCCAATGGAATGCAACTCACTTCGGGTAATGCTGCTGGTATCATGTCATCATTTATCTAGTAAGTCATTAGTAATTGCTTGCAGTATATTAACGTTACTCAGTGCTTAACAATTCTCTAGTCCTACCGCCGATGGACCGCGCTACATCGTGGGAAACGCCGTCTCTTTATCTTTAGTAGGTATGGCCGCGTGCCTTTATGGATTCTTGTGGTATTGGTTCGCTAGAGAGAACAAGAAGCGTGGCGAGGGACCTCTTACTCCGGCACATGAGAACTTATCTGAAGATGAACTCGCCGAACTAGGTGATGAAAGTCCGAGATATAAGTATACTATTTGAGATAACTTGACTGAAATATAATTTAAGTGCCTGGATTTGAAATTGAGAAATATTTCTATAAAGTGGCTTTAGAGTTGTCACTCGATCCTTAAAGTGTTCTACAGGCTCGGGATTTCGAGGCGCATCATGCCAATGTTGATTCAAAAACGATAGAATGTATCCTGCATAAGAGACTAGTGAAACAATTTAAACTCTATTCAACTTAATTTGCATGTACGAATACATACAACCTATTGAAGTGTTTCAAGTGACTAGTACAAAGTTTGCTACAAATATAAGAGGCAAGCACTGACCACCTCACTCTTGCTTTCAGAGCTACCCACTTTTCGCGATTAGAAGGCGCGTCAAGCTTCAGTTAATTGATTTAGGGCGCGTCAGTTTCGCATTTCTCGTGACATCACTCACTCTAATCTTCCTCACCACTTCATCTTTTTCCACGCATAACAAATCACCGGTTTACCTTCATTTCTTTTTAGTTTCCAATCGTTCTCACTACTACTCACACTAGGCTGCTTCAGAAATACCTTAATCATGGGTATTAAAGGCCTATTCCCCATCATCAAAGATGAGGCTCCTGCTGCCATTAAAGAGGGTGACATCAAAAGTCAATTCGGTCGCAAAGTTGCTATAGTGAGTACTTCCCAAGACAAAGTATCTAAATGTTGGCATGCTAATCTTAAAATGACAGGATGCGTATGTGTAACCTCATTTTCATCTAATACGGGAAGCAGAAACTAATTCACAACCAGTTCCATGAGCATCTACAGCTTCCTAATCGCGGTCCGCTCCGACGGCCAGCAACTGACGAACGAGTCGGGCGATACCACCTCCCACCTCATGGGCATGTTCTATCGAACTCTACGAATGGTCGATAACGGCATCAAGCCTCTCTATGTATTCGATGGCGCACCCCCCAAACTAAAGTCGGGCGAACTTGCTCGCCGTTTCCAGCGTAAGGCCGAGGCTAAAGAAGGACTCGAAGAGGCCAAGGAAACTGGTACAGCCGAAGATGTGGAAAAGTTCTCTCGCCGAACAGTCCGAGTCACCAAGGAGCACAATGCGGAGTGCCAGCAGTTGTTGAAGTTCATGGGTATACCCTACATTATTGCACCAACTGAAGCCGAAGCACAATGCGCCGCCCTTGCTAGAGCTGGAAAAGTTTTCGCAGCAGCCAGCGAGGATATGGACACTTTATGCTTCGATAGCCCAGTCTTACTACGTCACCTGACCTTCAGTGAGCAGAGAAAAGAGCCGATCCAGGAGATTTACGTTGATAAGGTCCTCGAGGGGTTGAATATGGACCGCAAACAAGTCCGTCAAGCCTTTCCTTCAATCACATCCACATGCCAGACAAAGTACTAATCGAAACAGTTCGTCGATTTCTGCATTTTACTTGGCTGTGACTATCTAGATCCTATTCCCAAGGTCGGACCTAGCACTGCTTTGAAGCTGATACGCCAGTACGGTACACTTGAGAAAGTGGTTGAATACATCAAGAGTGACTCCAAGTATACACTACCTGAAGATTGGCCCTTTGAGGATGCGCGAGCTTTGTTCTTTGAACCGGACGTTCGCAAGGCAGATGATCCCCTTTGCGACTTCAAATGGGATAAGCCAGATATTGAAGGACTGGTCAAGTTTCTGGTGACCGACAAAGGTTTTAACGAAGACAGAGTCCGCGCAGGCGGTGCACGATTAGAAAAAGCCACCAAGAGTTCACAACAGGCTCGGCTAGAGGGCTTTTTCAAGGTGATCCC